GGGTCAGGAGAGGTCTGCCACGCTATGTGGTCACCTCCGGGGCAGGCGGGAATCGAACTCATGCGGAAGTGGTTTTAGCTTCTCAGTGCTGCGCTTTAACCCGCTGCGCCACCAGGAGGGCCTACTCAGGATATTCTAACAAATACTTGTGGGTTTCAGAAAAATCCATAAAGCCTGTGGAAACCAGAGATCCTTGAAAGGCAAGTTTTAGGTGCAAGTTTATGAAAGGGAAATGAAGATCAATAGTAACGTCATTCTGTTTGAAATTAAAACCTATCCATTTCTACCCCAATTGACTATGGTTTTGTATAGGTGGTTGAAATGATGTTAGTAAGTGAAAGGTTATGGATTTAATAGAATCCATTAAAATTATACTCCTTTCATTTATTGCTTATATTGTTATGTATTTTCTCTGGGTAACAATCTTGATTCAAAATGCAGTAATTACATCAATTAAGTGAGCTATTTGCTGTTAACCTTCTGTTTCTGTGGGGATTAGCAGCATGAGAATGAAGAACTTAAAACTCTTCTACTGACATAGAATTGGTTTGGGTTAATTATAGTTTTGATATACTCTACCAGGATGCATAGACTTATTAGTTATGCCTATTAGTAGAGAGTTAAGGTACAGAGTCATTTTGCAAGACTAAGATCAGTAACAGAAAGATTGAAATCTAGTTTAAGAGTAAATTCGTACACAAGAATTAGACTTTAAATCTAATTGATGAGTCACATATGGCCAGAAAAGACACCCATGTCATAAACAGAAAAACAGCCAGAGTAGAGCTAATAAGCCAAAAGCAGGGAACCAAGCCAGAGGGTAGACAGTAGAAAGCAAGACGGCCTCCTCTTCACTTTCTCTTCCTTCTCCTCATTATAACTTTATGTATCTTTTGTTTGATGTAACCTGTGAAGGCAGGTTATATTTTTCTAACAGGATCCTGGCTCTTTAATGATCTATTTCTCTTACAGATTGCTTTTGTTTTAGTGTGATAGAAGCCCTTTTTAGAGTTATTTTTCGTAAGCACTAACAAGACACATGTCAGACACCACTGTTCATGAACAGTAGAGGATTTCTTTAGTCACTAAATATTTCTTCTGTTTCTGATATTTCAAGTGGAATATTGTAAACAGAGTATACCCTTGAAAACTTAACACTTTGGAACAAATTATTCTGAATTTTCTTCTGTTGCCACTAAATAACTTTGCATTATAAACACTGATTCAAAAAAATATTTTAGATTAGTGGCTAAGAATCAAATGAAGTGTTTATTTTTTATGGCATAGTAGTTAAAATGCTAATAGTGTATTATTATAAGCAATAGGACTTGCTCTCAAGACACTAAGGAGATACATGGAATTTCTATTTTTAAATTTTCCATTGAAATGTGAAATAGTTGTCTCCTTAATAAATAACAATAAAAAATAATTAGTTACTAAACTTCACACATAATCTTACTTATTCATATGTGGTTTACAGGGTATCTTTGATAAAAGTTGAGTTAATTTACATGTATCCATATGGTGCCAGCAAGCAGTTCATACCATTTTACCTGAACGTGGTAATTACTATGTCAGACAATCAATTTTAATAGCAATGATATTACAGTGTGAAGAGTTCATCTAGAGCTTAAAACCATCACCAGTACTGCTTTTGTGAAGGATAATTGAGATTTTGCATGAAACACGGAATGAATTACCTCTTGAAAATTAAAAGAATAATGAAGATAAAGCACTATTGTTGAATGGTTAGCCTATGCCAAGCAAATTTGTGAAAATGGGATTGAATAGGAATTTTAAATCTCAAAACATCAAAGTTTTGAATGAACTCTAAAAAGATGAAAACTTCTTTGCTTTTCTTGAAAGTTTAGTATTCTTGATCTTTTTCCCAAATAAATATTGGCTTATTAAAATTAGATATTAATCACCAAATATTGTGTACAAGGGGAAATAAATAAAAAATGAGAGCTTTCAGTCACTTCTCTAGCAGAAAGTGATTTTCCATAACTTTGTAATAGATAATACGCAGTATACACTTTTGTATTGCAGGGATTCATCAGAAGTTGTCATACATTCACCTGACGCATTTGCACCTGTGGCTTACCTACGCCTTTTAGATTTACATTTGGAAGACAAGGCAAGTAAATCATATATTTCAAGGGAAAATAGGATATATGTATTGGTTCTTTCTATATAACTCAAAAACAACAGACTAAAGAGTTAAAAGGGATCTTAGTGAAGTTTGGGTGTAGGCTAGAGGTGGGGGGGGGAGGGTGAGAGGATTCACCAGAGACAGAGTGGGGAGCAGAACAGACAGATTAACTGAAAAATACTGCTGAGGGGAGCAGCAGGCAAGGCAGGAAAGGTCTGCTGTGCCATGGGGGTCATGTCGCTGGTCAGGGTGCTGCTGTGGCTGCAGATAGCTTCATAGTGCTGCTTCTTTATCATTCTTGTGCCACCAGGGAGGACCTGATCTTAGTGAATTTTTCAGATTAGATCTGGTCAGATCCTCAGATCCTAAGAATTTTGCAGTTGTTTGTAGTTTTAAGAGCTGTATATTATACATGAAAGATGTTACATTTCTGAAGAGGTTACAGTTCAATTGAAAGAGAATTATACATTAAATGATGGGAAGATAAGAAAATTTCCAACCAACAGCTAAATCATCCAGGAAAATAAGAATTAGGTTTTAGGTTTGTGTATATTTGAGGATGAATTGGATCTTCATTACACAAAATTAAAGAGGAGAGGAAAAGAAGAAATAAAAACTTTTTCAAAAATATCTGAAGGACAAGAACAAGGGTAAGATGAAAAAAAGGCCAAAATGTGATAGTTACTTTAAAAATATCTATCAGTAAGTTACAACAGACAGTTGAAAGATTTTTTTTTTGGAATAACTTAAAGATCTTTTTATTTACAAGTATGGTCTTTGAAATGTTTGTTTTATGTGTAGGAAAAAATGGTAGCCCTAGAAATCTCAGGGTATGAGTTCCCAATAGTAGAAAGTAGAATGTTATGTCATTTTCCAGAAAAAAATTAGGACAGAGAGGATTGAAAATAGGTCTTGAAATGATTAGGGAAATGACTATTGGTGACCTTTTACTAAAAAACTGGTAATCTTTAAAAAAAAAAAAAAGATGTTGGTCCCTCCCTGGTGGCACAGCCGTTTGAAGCACAGCACTGAGAAGCTAAAGCCACTTCAGCACAAGTTTGATCCCCACCCCAGAGGTGATCCACACAGAGCAGCAGACCTCTCCTGACTAGTTCGCTGCTCCCCTCGGCAGTGTACTTAATCAGTCAGCCTGTTCTCTCTTTCTCGGGAGAATCCTCTTACCGCCTCTGTACCTCTGGCCTGTACCCCCTGTATGCATAAAGAAATTAATCTTTAAAAAAAAATTAAAAATATTATACTGTACAAACATCCTGGAGACAAACTAAAGGGAAACCCTTAACTTTTAGATCTCTACTATTTTTATATGAAGATATAGAAAATGAAAATCCTCAAATTCTTGCTTAGGCTTGTTGATTGTTACACATTCACTCTCCCCGTCGAGGACCTTGACCAGCAAGGCCGGAGAGTCGGAGCCCCAGGGCCGGCGAACAAAGAAAACAGTCACACATGTGTATCAGAACAGAGAGAGAGAGAGTTTATTTTGTCTTTATCTGGTTTATATAAAATACAAGAGGTGGGGGATGCAGAAGTCAGGAAGGGAGAAAGCCAATGGACACTAGACATGTAGCAGTGCTTGATAACATGGTCCTCGCGAGGGACAAAAATGGGCGAGAATGGAGCAGTGGTTAGATAATAGGTGGGTGAGAGAAGAAAGAGGAGAAAGAAAAGGTGGGGGCAAGGAGTTCTTCCCGCATGCCTTTTACAACCCGGATGTTTTTCTCTATCCGGACTCCATTTCACCTTTGTATGGCTGCTGACAGACGCCAGATGCCGGCCTCGGTCCCCAACACTCCCTAAATATCTCACCATTCACTTGTTTTGATATTTCACTGATCTTTAGAGTCTACTGCCTTGTGGTAAAGAGTAGTAAAGTGTTGGGTGGGATATTAAATGAAACTGAATAAATACATTAATTTTCCTTCTTTTATTTTTTTAGGTGTCCTCAGTGCCTGACAACTACAGAACATCCAATTATATTCATAATTCTTGAAGAGAATGAATTTTGAACATAGAACTTTCTCAATCTCTATATCCATCCACTGTTTTTCTAATACATTTATTAGAAATGTATTATTTAGAATAAAATGTATTTATTAGAAATGTATTATTTCTAATACATTTATGATGATGCATCATAAGAATTGATTAATTGGGGAGGTATGAATTCCATGTTCATTCATACTGCCAATTTTTGCAAGACTTATTATTTTTTTGATTTTGGTTGACGCATCATATCCATGAACTGTATGTGATATATGCCCTCTTCATGTCTTGTCCTCATTTCTGTAATACTTCATTTCTTCTTCTGTCTTTCCTATTCTGATTTCTGTCAACATTATGATGCAAATACATTTGAAAATAAGACTGAAAAAGCATTCATTTTATTTAGCACATTTTGTTAGACATATTTTTATCTTTATTGCCATAATTTACATGTTCTCCCTTATTTCTTTTAAATTACATGCTTTGAGGTGACATTCTATTATGAATTTACAGGGAAATAGTGAAATATCCTTACCAGAACCCCACATTCTATTATGAATTTACAGGGAAATAGTGAACTATCCTTACCAGAACCCCACTACTCTGTATCTATACCCTAAGTTGCTACAGTTTCTATTCCGTCCATCTCTCATACATATGCCATTACTTTTTTAAAAAACGATTTATTTATTTATACATACACAAACTGGAGTACAGGCCATAGGTGCTGAGGGTTGGGGGGATGGTGGTGAGAAACAGAGTGGGGAACAGATTGACTGATATACATGATTAAGAGGAGCAGCATGAGGGACAGGAGAGGTCTGCTGCGCCTTGTGGGTCACCTCCCTGGCCAGGGATCTAAATTGTGAAGCAGTGGCAGCAGATAGCTTCTTAGTACTATGCTTTACCCAGTCTTCATAATCCTTAATCCTTTCCCTTGATAATATTGGCCACCATCTTTCAGAAAAGCTCTCTTACAAAGATTTATGTCACTATACTTACTATTCTACTTTTTCTTCTACTTTAATTCAAAATTTCTTCTATCACCTAAGTAGCTATTCTCTGTCTTACCTTAAACATAAACATTGGTCTCAGTTCTCTTTATGGCTCCTTTCATATTACAATATTTTCATTTTTATGGAAATAAATTCTGTCTTTTTCTACAAACTTACTTTTACCTATTCAGGTGCTTCTCAATTTACTCCCTTTCTGGTATTTTCACTAATACTTACTCATTCTCCTTAAGTCTAGAAAGTTACTTCTGAACTTATGGGTCTTACAGATCTGACTACTGGTATGTTACCAAACTCATTAGGTAAACACTGTGAACTCATTTTTCTCTCCATTTGTACTTTCCATCTCACTTTGTAATCATCACCACTGTTTTCCCCTAGTAATACAGGCACAGAATATCTCCATCATCTCTTATAGCTGTCTTTCATTTGCCACAAACATGGAGTTGGTTATCTAATCCTCTATTATATAAGTTTTGATATGTCCCTTAAAACATTCCATCTTCTTTCTATCTTTCCAGTTAAAGTGTGTCTTTCCCAAACTCTTGGGTTAGATACAACTTTAAGTAGACATCTTGCTTTCTTAGTTACATATTTTAATCCATTGCTGTTTTGATTCTCTTCTGCAGAAAAACTGATAATAGTGCCAACCATCTTCTAAGTAAACAAAATATATCGCTGTGAATTGAAGGCCATTTCACAGGTCACTGTTACATCCTTTTATGTCCATGTTCTCAGGACTCTCATCCATGTATCTTTGATCCACTAACACAGAGCTATTGGCTAATCCCTTGCTGTGAGTACTTCTTCTTTCCTCTCTGGTCTTTGCTTATTTTCATGTTTCTTCTTTTTCTTTAATTGTTTACATCCTGCCTGTGATACAATATTAAACTCAAATGCTCATACACATACCACATGGAATGATGTCCTTAACAATTTGTTTTTTCTTTTGTTGAAATAAGTAACTAGCTTTATGTTGTAAATGTTTATTTTTACAAGGATATATATTTCTTGAGTGTTCCTTTTTTTATACCATCTGTACCATCTATGATTTGAACTGTAAGAAGTTTTAATTTAATTGACTATATTATTTTCATACTTTATTATTTCCTTGAAGAATTTTATAGACATATGCTTCCATTTCAAGTTGCATACCATTTAATAAAAAGGCACCTGCTTGTTTATTTTTCTTACCTTGTTGTTAGAGAAAAATGCTGCAAGCAAACTAAAATGTAAAAGAAAACCTTAGAATGGATAGTAGTGTAAATTTTGAGTCATTACTAAGACTTTTAATTTATATATGACCCTTAGACTTTTCTGTTGAATAACTTATCTACTTAAGTTTCACATTAAAGTTAAAATTTTATATTATTAATGTGAATATAAAAATTATATTAACAACTATAGTATCCCAAACAAATTTACTGAATAGTGGAAAGCTCCCAGTTAAACATGGGGAAATATATTAAAACTTCTTTGGGGCTCTGACTTTATTGCTTATAGCAAACTTGATGCTAAAATGTACCATACATCACTATCGTGACAGGCTTGAGAAAATGAAAAACACAAAGCTTTACATAAATCAGCCAAAAGATGATATTAAAATACATAACATTTTACAAAAGAATCAAGATTTTTTACTGTTAGCTATTCAGAAGCTCTCTCTTCCTTATGTTGTTTTAGATTCTACAAACTGCTTTATAAAAAAATAATATTCCACATTAATTTTGGGCAAAGCCCATTACATTTACAAAGAATCACGGTTCATGGAAATTTAGCCACAATTTAACTAATGTACCCAACTATCACTTAGTACTTAATTTTTCTTTTTGTCAAAATATTCTCATGGGACAATTATATGTTTTAAGTAATATAATATCTCATATTCTTAAAAGTTGTAGCTCTCAAACATATCATACATAATAATTCTTAAAAGTTGTAGCTCTCAAACATCATACATAATACAATCTTGGCTGTTTTATTTTTCTCTGTAATCCAATTGAATATTTATGAATACCTATTCTGTTCAAAAAATTATTAGACTTACATGGAATTCACTGTAAATATAGAAAATTACAGTGTAATTGTAATTCAGACTTTAAAGTTATAACAGGTAATCTTTATTCCCATCATGATTATAGTGACAAGTATATAGTTTGGCTAACCAGAATTTAATTTATACCTGTAATGTATTGTTGATATCAATAATGTATTGACAAATAAAAATATTATTGATTTCAAGGTGAAGAGTGATATATAAGATATGATTCTCTTTTTTCTAAAAATTGTGGCAGAGGGAGGAAGTTTAGATATTTACATTTGAATCAGAGTTGTAAGAGACCAATAATGGACTGAAGGATAAGAATACAGAGAAGGTAATTTCTAACAGTGAGTGCGTGTTTTTAAATTTAAAAATATATTACTAAGAAAATCATTTACTGAGATGAATATTTACCAAGAAAATTATCTGAAGTGGGGGGTATATAATGAGTTGCAGTGGTAAATAAATGTTTTAAGTTACTCAACAATATTTTTGTATTCTAGTTAAAAAGAGCATAGTAGGCCTGTTTAAAACTTTCCATAGAAAGAGAGAGTGGGAGAGACAAAGTTTTCAGATGGCAGAAGTCTTGAGTATGTTATACATAGAAATTTGCTCTTCCTGCTCACTTGAACATGTATAAATTTTACCATCCCCTCTATGGAAGTTAAAGAATGACTTTTATTAACTAATATTTGGTTTAGTACAATTTGTCTACCCCATTTTGCTAACTCACCCACTTAAGCAGAAATCTGATTTAAAGGCAAGAAGGCATATAATAGAATTTAAAAGAAACCTCTATTAACTTCAATTATATAACTTTGGATTTGGATAGGTTTGGGCCTTAAGAACAACTTGGTCACTTTGTAACAAGTGATTGTTGGAGAAAATAAATTAAGCACATTCAAGGAAGTTAGACAACCACTTAATTTACTTCTATCCCTAATACATCATTTCAGTGATTAAAAAAAAAAAACTAAAAAACTAACATCATGATGACAGGGAAGTCAGGAATCAAACAGTGAAAGAATGTTTTTGAACTTTAAACTTGTGATAGTTGATTATTTTCTCTGTTTTCAAATTAATTGACTCTATTTTCTTCTTTGATATTTACTTAGTAGTATGCTCTCCTTATTCAGCTGTTTATGATTATTATTGTTTTCAAAATAAGTTTCTGATTTGTGTATTCATAGTGTTACATTTGGCTACTTTCTTATCAAAGGTATGTGACATATCCTTTATTCATTTAACACCTTTCTGTTAAGCGCTTATATCTGTATTTGGCACTATACATAAAAGGGGTTGTAACTGTGAATTGTATATGAAGAAAACATAAAGGTCTTCTCAAAAAAAAGCTGAGGAACCTTGCTAACGTCAGACCTCACCTACAAGAATTACTGAAAAGGGCTCTTATCTAAACCAAAGATCTGAACAGGAAATTAGATAGAACCAAAAAACTAAAAGCAAATTGGCAATAACAAATCCTCATATCAATAATCACCCTACGTGTAAGTGGACTTAATGATAAAGGCAGAGAGTGGACAGTTGAATAAAAAAATCAATACCAACTTTCTGTTCTCTCTTATAGACTTACCTGAACTCCAAGAATAAACATAAATTGAAAGAAAAGGGATGGAAAATAATTCTAGAAGCAAATGTCACCCAAAAGAAGACCAGAACAGCCATACTTATATCAAATAAAAGATACTTCAACTGATAGGATGCAAACCTACAGGATGCAGCAAAAATGGTATAAAGAGAAATGTATATAGCAATACAGGACCACATCAAGAAAGACGAAAATCAAATAAACAATCCTCATCTCGAGAAGAAACAAACAAAACCAAAAGCCAGATGGAAGAAAATAATAAAAATTAGAGCAGAAATAAATAGAACAAAGTTAAAAAAAGACTGTCGAAAGATTAATGAAACCAAATGCTGGTTCTTTGAAGAAAATCAACAAAATAAATAAACCTCTCATTAGACTACAAAGGAAAAAAAGGAGAGAATTAGAAATGAAAGAAGAAAAATTACAAAAGACATTTCAGAAATACAGAGGATTATAAAAATTATCTTTGTGCCAGCAAACCTAGATGAAAAAAGACAAAAAAATCTATAAAACTCCCAAGACTGGACTAGGAAGAAATGGAAAACTTGAACAAACCAATCAAAAGCAAGTAAATTGAAATAATAAACAAGAATCCCAATAAAGCACAACTGGGCCCAAATGATATCTACCAGTGAGTTCTAGCAAACCTTCAAAGATAAATTAATACTTACCTTTCTCAACTCTTCCCAAAAAACTGAGAGGGAAAGCTTCCAAAGAAACTCATCAATGATATGAAAACCTGACAAAAGATATTACAAAAAAAGAAAATTATAGACCAATTTTCCTGGTGAACATAAATGCAAAAAACCACAACAAAATTTTAGCAAGTCAAATTCAACTATGCATCCAAGTCAGACTTAATATAGGGTCACAGGGATGGATTAACATGAGGAAATCAGTCACTGTAATTCACATCAACAAAGGGACAGATAAAGAACATGTGATGACATCAAGAGGTAGAGAGAAAGCTTTTCTAAAATGCAACATCTAGTTCTGATAAAAGCCTACAAAAAGTGGGGATAGATGGAGCATTTCTGAACATAATGAAGGTCATGTATGACAAACCCATAGTCAACATCATACTCAATGTTGAAAACAAAGTTTTTCCTCTAAGATGGCTCAAGACAAGGATATCCTTTTTTATCAATGAGGCAAGAGAAATATATAAAAAGAATCAAAATTGGAAAGTAGAAATAAAACTATCATTATTTGCAGATCACTGAAAAATTAAATTAATGTACTGAAGTATCAGGGTATAAAATCATTTTCCAAAAATCAGTTGTTACTATATGCAGAGTAAGAAATCCAGAGAAAATCTCATCACATAAAAGATGTTCTAAAAAAAGATACTTCAACTACTCTATACTAGTAAATACTTTAACTACTCTATACTAGTAAACTTGAAAACCTAATCTGAAATTTTAAAAATCCTTTTAAAAAATCACACAACAGAAAAATAGGCCAAACCTGAAGAACCATGCACATGTGTATATGTTAAAACAATTTTTATTACTAAAAATCTTCACATACTCACATACTTCCAAGACTATATGGCTTCACTTGTACATTACAAAAGTGGAAAACTGAGAACTTTACAGAACTTCTCAAGGAAACAAGAGACTTGTGGGGTCAGCATAATTAAAATTCCACTAACATTGCTGACATTTCTGTTGAAAATATTTTGGATAGGATGTCTGACTGCATATCTTTTCAATGTTACTCTGAAGAATTATTAGATGAGCCAACTCAAGGTGTACTTAATTCTCCAGAGATAAACTTTTATTTCACTATTATTTGCTGATTAACATTCTAGACTCTGTAACATTACTAATTAATCTATAGATTTTTGTCCAGCATTGATGATTTCTGTAAAGTAGAAAAGATAACCCAAAAAGTTACCATTCTTTTTCCCGTTAGGACATTAATTTTTTGCATCTACCCTCACTCTTGTTTCAGAGTTTTCTCATTTTATGTGTGTCTTCTCTCACATTCTCTTGGATCCACTACTTACTGTTAGACTTGGATGTGAAGGTTTTCAGTAATGAAATTAGTCTTTACTGATATTAAATACATGTCAATCTGTATTTGCATTAGACTCAGCATTCCAATTTTTAAAAATACATTTGGAGACAATAAATCTGAAAATAACATTGAGGAATAGGAAAACACCATAAACAAAACTCATTCATGAACACAAATGTAAAAATCCTTCATGAGGCAGGAGAATCAGTAGCTTTACAGAATCAGTAGCTTTACAGAAAAAATATCTCAACTGAAAGAGAAACAATTGGCCCCTACAGTCACCTTTTTGTTTAATTTGGCCCCAAAGGATTAGAATGTTTGCTCTCTAGTGAGGAGGGAACTCTTTACTCAGATTCCTTGATCAAGTGATAATCTCTTCCAAATACACCCAAAAATAATGTTTTACTATCTGGCCCTTCATTAGACTAGTCATGTTGATACACACACACACAAATCACACTTCTTATTCATATCATTCATATATTCTATTTCTTATTGGGTTTGTGGTATCTTCCTTATTGAATTTTAATTGCCCTTTATATATTTCTCAGTTTGCCTTTAGTATTTCACCTCATTTCTGGTATTCCTTTTTCCATGAGTACAATTTTAAAATTTTATATAATCAAATTTATAAATCTTATCTTCATGACAAAATGATAAGAGTAAAATTTCCCTTTTAAATCCATCTTTTGTCTCATTCCTATGAGGGAACCTTTTTAATAAGGTACAACAGAGATTAGCAAACTATAATTGATTACAAATCTAACCTGCTTTAGTAAATTAGTTTTACTGGAAGAGAATTGTGTTCACTTCTTTATGTATGAGAAATCTGTTTGCATTCACACTCTAAACACAATTTTATAACCCACAAATCTAAATATATTATTTGTCCTTTGCAAAAAAAAAAAATTTGGTCACAACTGTTTTAGAAAATAGTTCACCGAAATGTCTTAGTAGAACTTATATAAACATATACATTGATATTTTGGTTGGTGTTGATGTTTTGGTTTCTTTAATCTGTCTCTTCCCCCTAGTTGCTTGCTTGCATAACAAACATGTTTTTTTTCCCAGAGAACAGACACTGTGTACTGTTTCTTGTCTAGCCCTTGCATGATCTCTAGCACATAAGGGTAGCTACATAAATATTTTTTGAAATATTTAATGAAAAGTATGTTTTTTTGTTAAAGTAACATTTAATTGTAACATTATATTAGTTTGAAGCATGCATTATTGAAAATCAACATATTTTATTCTACATCAAATTTATAACAAAGTCCAATTTTTTTTATTTTTTTAATATATTCATTTTTTTCATTTTTTTACAATGTATAATTAAGCTATCCTGACTAAAAAAGGGGAAATGGAGGTATCACACTTCCAGACTTCAGACTATACTACAAAGCCTCAATAATTAAAACTTCCTGGTACTGAAACAAAAACAAACAAATATGCAAAAAAGAAAAAATGAAGCGAGACTACTGTCTCACATCATCAATTCAAAAGGACATCAGCACCTCTATGCTTTTCAATAAGTCCAAAAACCATGTCAAAATGAATTATGGACCT